CCTGCTCCATAGGGTTTTCAAGGGCAAATGTTTTGGAAGCAGACTGCCAGGCCTTTCTTCCAAGGTGTTGCTCAGACCTGGCGGGACACCAGCACAAAGACCATTCCAGGCTTAGGATTCCAAGACGCCTTAGTTTTTGAAATCTTTGCTTTGTGTTTTCATAATACAGTTGCAACTTTTAACTCAGATGAGAAATAATTTTTAAAAATAGCAACAGCAGAAAAAAAAATTCTTGGACTAAGATTCTGACCCTGTCAGTGAAATTCCCCAATTTATGAAACACGGTTGCATCATTACTATATTTAAACTTCAGCTGTCCCCTTTAACTTAGTTCTACTCAAGGGGATTGTTTATCCCTTTCCAAATGGGCTCAAAACCAGGATCCAGCAGGCTTCTAAGAAATGGTGGAGCCTTAAAAATGGCTGGAAACAGACACTGAAAAGCAAATGGCAGGGCTCTGCTATCACAGTACTGCTCAACTGCTTACCCGCTGCCGTCAAGTGAATTCCAACTCTATACGACAGCGTATTTCCTAGGGTTGCCATAGGATCTCCTGGGCTGTAATCTGTGCAGGTTAGGGCACAGTGCTTAAGAGCTAAGGCTGCTAACCAAAAGGCTGGCGGTTCAAATCCACCAGCTGCTCCTTGGAAATTCCATGGGGTGGTTCTACTCTGTCCTATAGGGTTGCTATGAGGCAATCTTTTTTTTTTTTTTAATCTTTATGGGAACAGATCACCAGGTCTTTTCTTCCACAGAGCAGCTGGTGGGTTCAAACTGCCGACCTTTTGGTGAGCAGCTCAGTGCTTAACCACTGTGCCGTAAAGCCTCCTTATTAAATCTCATATACGGTATAAATAAAACAATCTAGTGAAGTGAAATGACAGAACTGAAATTTGAAAAGGGTAGTCTCTTTGTAACTAAAAGTGCAAAATGGCTATGCTTACATTTTCAAGCAACTTGCATTGTACCCAACCAAACGGAATTGAGGTAAGCTACAAAAATTCGGCAAAGGCTCAGATTGGATTGGCAAATCCAGTTTGAGTTTGTGGAAGTGAGTTCTGCATAAAACACGAGGTAGAACTTTTTATAACAAACTTGGCGATTGTTTCTTGAGTACGAGTCATTTTTATTCATATTTGTACACCTTTCTGTACTGGAAATCCAGTTTCCTATTTTAAATTTCGGAAAGACTGTGTATTATTTCCTGTGTTGATTTTATATGAATAATGCCTTTAATAAAAATTATTTTATAATGGATTCTAGTGTTGGTTTAACTTCTAGAGCTTTTATTACAGCTGCTTACTCAGACGGCATGGAGCTTCACGGAAAGGCATGTACTTACTTCCACGCTAGCATACTTGCACATGGAACACTTGAAGGGCTTCTCGTGAGTGTGTCTGTAACGCCTGTGTCGGCCAAGCTCTCCACTGGTTACAAATGCCAGGTCACAGTCGCCACACTTATATGGTCTGGTTCCTATAAAAACACATATTTGATACTTTTAATACAAATT